AAGGAAAGGAAAGGAAAGGAAAGGAAAGGAAAGGAAAGGAAATGAAATGAAGGGAAGGAAGGAAGGAAGAAAGGAAGGGAAGGGAAGGAAGGAAGGAAGGAAGGAAGGAAGGAAGGAAGGAAGGAAGGAAGGAAGGAAGGAAGGAAGAGCAATAGCCCTTAGACTTGTATACCGCTTCACAGTGCTTTACAGCCCTCTCTAAGCAGTTTAGAGAGTCGGCCTCTTGCCCCCAACAATCTGGGTCCTCATTTTACCCACCTTGGAAGGACAGAAAGCTGAGTCAGCCTTGAACTTGGTGAGATTCAAACTGCCAAATTGCAGTCAGCTGGCAGTCAGCAGAAGTAGCCTGCAGTACTGCATTCTAACCACTGCACCACCCTGCCTCCATGCTGATCTTTTCCCACTTTGTCCTTTGGGGTTGGGTGGGAATTTTGCTAGACGCTCAGGGTGAACGAGAGCATGCTTGGAGCTTGAAGGGAACAATATTTCCTTTGCACCATTTTTATTTTTGCTTTTAAATCCCACCTTTATTACTTTATAAGTAACACACAAAGTGGGGGATGCATATAGCACCCCTTCCCCTTTCAAGAACTCTGTGAGATGGGTTGGGGGTTTGAGAGAGGGACTGGCCCCAAATCACCCCGGTGACTTTCATGCCCAAAGGCAGAACTAGAACTCACCATCTCCCAGTGATTGGCCCAAAGTCACCCAGCTGGCTTTCACACCTAAGGCAGGACTAGAAGTCACCATCTCCTGGTGATTGGCCCAAAGTCACCCAGCTGGCTTTCATGCCTAAAACAGGACTAGAACTCACAGACTCCTGGTGATTGGCCCAAAGTCACCCAGCTAACTTTTGTGCCTAAGGCGGGACTAGAACTCACCAGCTCTTGGTGATTGGCCCAAAGTCACCCAGCTGGCTTTCGTGCCTAAGGCAGGACTAGAACTCACAGACTCCTGGTGATTGGACCAAAGGACAGGATAAAAAGGAATATAAATAAATAAACAAAGTTAACCGGTCAGCTTTCATGACTAAGGTGGGACTAGAACTCCCTGTTTCTAGGAATTCTAGCCCAGCACCTTAAGCCATACTGCCTCTCAACGATGCAGGAATTGGGAAGGGCAGAAGGATAATCAAGGCAGGACAAACAGCGGTGCAGATGGGGGCTTTAAAAAAGGGGGGGGGGATGGAGACCACCCCAGCATACACACATCCATGCTGGGGTGGTGGTGGCAGCACAGGGGAATGCAACCAGCCCCTTCCTTCAGGGTCCCCCTTCCTTGACCCCAGGAAATTGCTTGTTCAACCAGCAGCGAAAGAGTCAGCCTGTCAGTTTTTCTGTTTCCCTGCTTCTCAGTCCTTGGCACAAGTCCCCGTTTTTTTTATGTAACCGATATAATCGCTTAATACTCACTCGGGAACATGCAGAGAATCTCACAAACACACACGCCCGCGTACGCACGCACCCCAGCTTGTTATATCAATAGTCCTAAAAGACTTTGGTTTTTAAAAGCAAACATAAACAAACAAAACATAAAAACACCAAGCTATCTTCCATAGGTGTACGAAAATTAAAAAAAAGAAATAATCCTAAAAGACTTTGAGAAGCGGCTGGGGGCCCTGTGGGCGGTCAGCACGGAGGGTGAACACACTGGACACCTCACTCTGGGTCTCTCTTTCTCCCTGCTTTCCAGTTGTTCCTCCTCCAGGTGGGACTGCCTCCCCCCACCACAAAAGCCACAGGGTGGAGCTGCAGCTGGGAAAGGCTGAGGACGGGCCACCTTGAGGCTCAGCGTCCCGCCCAAAGGCCCAGTACACATATTTCCTCTTCACCCTTTCCTCAGGCCGGCACGGACAGACTTTTCAGCAGTGTGGCTGTTGTCCCCATCTTTGGCCAAGTGACCCTCGGGTTGCCGAGCTAAAGAGAAACTCCTGAAGAAGAGCACCAGCACAAGTCCAACATTTTCGGGAGACAAAAACTCTGGTTCCGGTGACCGACCCAGATTGGATCCTGCCACATTCAGTTCCCCTGAACTCAAGAACACTGAGAGCCCCGGGCTGTTCAGGAAGGCGGTGGTATTGGTGGCCATTAACCCAACGTTTAATCACGCCTGACCTCACCTCGACACAGTACAATTAGGCCACTGGGCCATGCCCTCGCTGACCCAGCTACCACGGCCATTCCGCCTGGCTGTGTTCCCGAGGAGATGAGGGCATTGCGTGCCCGGAGCATGCCAAGGGTGTGTTGGAAAAAAACAACCCAGGTGTGTTTGGAAGGGATGGAAAAACGGGAAGGTACAGAGGACAAGAAACGGGGGGTGAGAAGGTTTGGATTTTTGGAGTTGCACAACTGCTGAGGTTGCAGAGGAGACTTCTGCGCAGTCAGGAGCGGGAAGTCAAATGGTGGGTGAACTGCCAATCAACACCCCCCCCCCCCACACACACCCTTAATAAAAATTACCTGCTAACAGATTTAGCAATTTAGCAAACAGAGGCCAAACTGGGCAGGACAAGAGAGGTCACAGGTTGTGTGAAGGCTGCGTTTAAGATAACGTCTGGCCTCTATAGCGCTACTTTCGAGAAATCTCTCTCTTTCGTGTTGATTTTGGTTCACTCACTTTTCAGTGCTGGTTGCATCAAATGAAGGCTCAACACCCCCTCTCCCCATTTTCCTAGTTCCATGGAAAATGCAGTGCCCCTTGCCCAAAATTGGAAGAGTGATAAGATACTAACAGAGGGGAAAAGAATTGAAAAAGTATTTGGATGTGCAGAAATGAATAGAATGACACTAGAAATTAAGAAAAAAAAGAAGAATCTGAATATTATATGGTATGGGATTTGTTTTACCAATGGATAGAAAATAGAATAAACTAAAAGGGACCAGATGTAATAAGAGGAATTAATGGAATAGATATATTGGATTTCATTTGTACTATATATATATGGGAATGCAATTATTGTTATGTTGTTAAGTTGAATAAGAATAATATTAATAATGATTAAGTAATTCGAAATATGTACCTAATCAACGCACGGTTGAAATGGAATGGATTTTGTGTGTGTGTGTGTGTGTGTGTCACACACACACACACACACACACACACACATATACGTATGGTATTCAGCTTTGTTCGGGTATTTTCCCACGTCATTATAGTTGTGCTTTTAAAGTTGTAGCAATGTTTTGGCAGAATCTCATCTGCCATCATCAGGCTTCTGTATAGTGAACACTATACAGAAGCCTGATGATGGCAGATGAGATTCTGCTGAAACGTCGCTACAACTTTAAAAGCACAACTACTATGACGTGGGAAAATACCCGAACAAAGCCGAATGCCATACATGTAAGTACCCGCGAAAACTTAAGAAAACAAATATATATATATTTGTAGAACCTCAGAAAACATATATATACTTCTGTATACGAAAACACACCCACACACCCACACCTATATATATATGAACACACATATATGTATACATATACATACATACACACACACACACACACACACAAAACAAAAGAAAAGGAAAAGAAAACGCAGAGCCCCCTTCCACCCCGCAACCCAGTTCAAATTGTGGCGACTCTTACCGGATTCTCCTTGCTCAGGAGGTCTGTCTGGCTGTCCGTCCACTCCCACTGCTGAACGGAGGAACGGCTAGTGGGGTGCAGGGATGGGGTGAGGACCTCCGGCGTGGAGCCATGCATGCCAGGGCCCGGGGAACGCCCCCCTTTCCGGCTGTAGGAGTCCAAGTAATCCTGGACGTAATCCGAGTGTCTGCTGGGCTGGTAAAATCCTTGGATGCTGCAGAGCTCTTGTCGGGGACGGGCGATGAAGGGCCCGCGGGTGGAGGTGGAAGGGTAGGGGTCTGAGGACAGGTGCATGGAGGAGAGATCCCGTGCCAAGTCGGAATGGCTGCTGGACTTCTTGCGTCCCAGCGGGGTGGAGCCATAGCTGGTCGAGGGCCCGTTCGCAAAGGAGTAGGTGGCCCCTCCACTCAGCCCTCCAGAGGGCCTCACGGGGACCCGGCTATACCCAGGGCTCAACCTGGTGCCCGAGTCCGGGCGCTGGAGCAGCCTCCCTCCCCCGTCGAAGTTCAAGGAAGAGGAGGCAGTGGCCCCCGACGTCCGCAGGTGGGTAGAAGTCAAGTAGCTGGAAGGAGTGGTGGGCTTGTAGTTGAGCTTCTCTTTGTCTGAGTAGGAGGAGGAGGAGAGTTTCGACGAGTAGGAGGAATAGGTGGCATAGCTGGTGGAGGCTTTGCTGCAAGGCAAGGTGTCCGAGTAGCGGGGAGAATCCACATAGCGCTTCAAGGTGGAAGAGAGCTGGGACATCCTGAGGGAGGGGGCGCTGGGGGAGATGCGGGTGGCATTGACTGAAAGAGAGCAAAAGCAGGAACCAGTTAGCTGGGGCGGGGGCTGGCACAAAGGGGGTCCTTGACCCCCTTCAGGGTCAGCAGAAAGGAAAGAACCAGTGGCCTTCCAACAATGGTTGGCCAACGGATTCTTCATGGCATGCCATTGACTGAATCCACGAAGTCAACTGGGAATATCTACTAGCCAGCCAGGCATGACCCAAGAAGCCAAGAAGGGTTGACTCTGGTCAGTTCTTGGGAGGAGAAGCGTCTGGTATGGGGGGACCAGGACTGCTGACTGGATTGGGAGGTCAACCCACCCATCTTTGCCCAAGCTGAGCCAGCCCACCACTGTATCATACCCAGAAGACGGAAAGAAGGTTGTGAATCTGTCTACAAAAGTTACCAGAAGTTGGGCTCAACTTCAAGCAGGCATGACTTGATACTGGTTAAATAGGGAGGAAAAAAAACTGGATAATAGAAAAACAGGGTTGGAAGGGACCTTGGAGGTCTTCTAGTCCAACCCCCTACTTAGATAGGAAACCCTATTCCTATGGCTGTCCAATTATCTCTTCTTAAAAGTCTGCAGTGGTGGAGAAGGGAGGGAGAGAAGGAAGGAAGGAAGAAAGGAAGAAAGAAAAAAAAAGAAAAAAAGAAAGAAAGAAAGAATAGCAGAATAATAGATTTAGAAAGGGACCTTGGAGGTCTTCTAGTCCAGCCCCTTACTCAGGCAGGAAACCCTCTAGCATTTCAGACAAATGGCTGTCCAATAATCTCTTCTTAAAAACTTCCAGTGTTGGAACATCCACAACTTCTGGAGGCAAGTTGTTCTACTGATTTAATATAATCATTGATACAATTATTAAATTAAGTGCGACAAAAAAGGCGGCAGAGAGAGAGAGAAAGAGAGAGAAGTAGAGAAAGATCCATATCATAATTATTGGCATTGATATCAGGTTAACTCAACCTTTCAGCAAATTAAATCTAGACCAGATAGGTGCCTTTTGCTTCAGCTTCTCACTTCTGGAACACACAGGCCTTTTCGAAAACAGATAACGGACCCGTCCCCTGAATCTCCTCCTTAGTATCACGAAGGCAAATGTCTTCCCACGCCCATAAAAACCATGGTTTCCATTCGGGTGGAGGAGCCCTTCACACGTCGATTCTACGAGTGCCCCCTCTCAGCCCACCTGTCCTCGCAGAGATATTCCCTCCCTCCAGATGCCCTGTGCTCCCATCATTCTCCCACGAGGAGAGTTGTAGTCCCACATATCTTGAAGAGTTGACGGAGGTTCAACTCTTTTAGCCGGCTTTTGGGAGAATCAGGGATTGGAAGCATGGGGAGGCGACATGAAGGCCACTCCTGCCTCCTGCTGGTAAAACAACAGCATCTTGCAAAGAGACGGGTAGCTCCAGAATGCTAGAATGATGTACATAGGTGCCGGGTTCACACAAGTTCAACTAAAGTGGGTCAAAGCAGCCCAAAGCATGTTTTAAAAATGATTGTACACACAACCACGTGAAGCCGCAGCTGCCGGTGGTTTAACTGGGGTTGACCTTCATACGCATCTTCTTAGGTTCTTCCTTAAGGACCTAGGATATTGTCACATATCGGATACGTGAGGATCCAAGAGTGGGGCCTTTTGCTGTTGACGGAAGAAAATTTCATCAATACGCAGGTTTTCTAAATACCCTCGGAGATTATTATTTTTTTTTGGTATTATGATTGGTTGCACAGCCAGATGTTTAGACTAGATTTTGGCATTTTTGTCTACCCACTGAGTCCTTTTCAAGGAGCTGGGATAGACAGATGTTGTTTTTCAATGGCCTTGGTGCAGGATGTAAGCTGTTTCAACTAAAGCTGCCTTTTGCAGTTGACTGATGGTGATTTTGTCAATGCCAAGGGCATTCAAGGGATGGTTCAGATGTTTTGGGACTTTACTCATGGCTCCTATAACTATAAAACTTTTTTTTGGCCACAATTGTTCCATTTCTATTTGCAGTTCTTTGTGATTTTTCTTCAGTTCTTTCTCTTTTTTTTAAAAAAAATAAAAAAACCTTTATTAAGATTAAAATATTAAAGTACAAATATGTCCATTAAGAAAATAAAGACAAGCTTTATGTCTTATTTCTAACCTTTCACATTCCTACTATCTATCCATTGATACCAGTTATCCCAAACTGAATAATATTCCGAGTCTTCCTTGTTTTTTAATTCTATAGTGACTTTGTCCATTTCTGCACACTCAAAAATTTCACGGATTATCAAACAATCTATCGGTATGGTAGCCATTTTCCAAGCTTGTGCTAGTGCAATTCTCGCTGCTGTGATAATATGTATAATCAAGTATTTAATCTTTTGGGGGTATTTTCCCTTAATGATCCCCAAGAGAAACAATTCAGGCTTCAATTCTATTCGACAGTGGGTGCAAGTTCTTTCTCTTCTATTCTGGTGTCTCCAGTTACAGTAACGTCATCAACTCCTCTCCTTCCTTCCTTCCTTCCTTCCTTCCTTCCTTCCTTCCTTCCTTCCTTCCTTCCTTCCTTCCTTCCTTCCTTCCTTCCTTCCTTAAAAATATTGTTTGGTCCTTCACCAGACACAACCTACAACTCTGAGGATACAACGGCGAACTAAATATGAAAAGTTGAAAGAAAGCTTTAGTGTTATCCCAGGATGGTCACGAAAAGGAAACATACCCATCTACCTTGGGGAGAAGGACACAAAACAAATGGGGCATTATATGATGCAATTCTAGATCCTTTTCTGGTCCTCTGGCTCAGGCGTAGAACATCAGAAGTGAGAGTAAAATGTGCGCATCTAGCAATGTGCAGGGAGACATTCATTGACCACAAAGCATCTTGCTGGATCCGTCTTAAGAGATGAGCTAGCTGTGAGTCCAGTTTCCATATACGGCCATGTCTTTGGAATAGTACATCCTGGACAGTAAATCCTTCTGTTTGTAGGTACTGTTATCTCCAAAAGTTGGAGGCATCTGACCCAGGATTAGAAGTTCATTTAGCTACCAAGGTCCAATAAAGACTAATAAGCAAATTCTCATAGACCATAGAATAAGAGTTGGAAGGGACCTAGAAGAGACCCTATTCTAAACAAATGGTTGTCCAATCTCTTCTTCAAAACCTCGAGTGTGGGAACATTCACAACTTCTGGAGGCAAGTTGTCCCGCTGATGAATTGTTCTCACTAACAGGAAATTTCCCCTTCGTTCTCACTTGGTTGTCTCCTTGGGTAGTTTCCATCCGCTGTTTTTCATCTTGCCTTTTGGTGCTTCAGGAATGGTTTGACCCTCCCTTTGTCTTTGTAGGACCCCATCAAATATTGGAAGATTGCTATCATGTCTCTCCTAGTCCTTCTTTATAGAAAAGAATAGAATAACAGAGTTGGAAGGGACTTTAGAGGTCTTCTAGTCCAACCCTCTGCTTAGGCAGGAAACCCTTGACCACTTCAGACAAATTGTTATCCAATCTCTTCTTAAAAACTTCCAATGTTGGAGCATCCACACCTTCTGGAGCCAAGTTGTTCCACTGATTAATCGCTCCGACTGTCAGGAATTTTCTCCTGAGTTCTAAGTTGCTTCTCTCCTTGGTTAGTTTCCATCCATTGCTTTTTGTTCTGCTTTCAGGTGCTTTGGAGAAGAGCTTGACTCCCTTTTCTTTGGGGCAGCCTGTTAGATATTGGAACCCTGCTATCATGTCATCCCTCATCCTTCTTTTCATTCAATTTTCATTAGAATTCTCCATTCTAGAATTCACTCATTCGCCACTCCTCTACTTGTTGCAGAATACCTCATGCCACCAGACTCGAAATTCTAGACCTAGAAAACCTTGAATTACTCCACCTTCGGTCTGATTTAAGTATGGTATATAAAATCATACATTGCAATGTCCTACCTGTCAATGAATACTTCAGCTTCAACCATAACAACACAAGATCAAACAATAGATACAAACTCAAGGTAAACTGGCACCAAGCTTGATTGCAGGAAATACGACTTCAGCAACAGAGTGGTCAATGTCTGGAATACTCTACCTGACTCTGTGGTTTCTTCCCCAAACCCCAAAAACTTTAACCTTAGACTGTCTGCTATTGACTTCACCCCTTTCCTAAGAGGTCTGTAGGGGACGTGCATAAGCTCACCAATCGTGCCTACTGTCCCTGTCCTATTGTTTCTTTTATATTTTTCTTATATGTATCCATTTTATATATATCCATTTTATTCATAACTATGTATATACTTATACCTGTAATCTTATAATCACTTGACTAAATAAATAAATAAATAAACAAACAAATAAATAAATAGACTAGACATATCCAATTCCTGTAAGCATTCTTCACACGTCCGAATCTGTGCTTTTAAAACAGCTGGATCTTACACCATCCTTTCCCAACCAGACCTCCAGATGTGCTGGGACCACACCTTTTCTCCTCCAGCTTCTCTGCCCTTTTACCCTTTCTGTAACCCCAGTGAGAGGAAAAACCCCACCACCTGAATTCCTACCTGCCCGCCAACTCTTTTTAAAGCTGGATCAATCTCAGCAGGGGAAAGAAGATGTTAATTCTTGCATGGAAAATCTGGGAACGGCCTGTTCTCCAAGGAGGAGGAGTCTTCTTTTAACACACCTTTGGACACCTGGATCAAAGCTTTCTCCAGCTCACCTGCTCTGGATGCCTCCCGAGCAGCTCACCTTCTCACATGAGCCTTTGCTGCCACGTGCCTGTGTAAGAGAGGCTGGGCAGGTCTCGTGGGAGCCTGTCACCACAGCGATGGCACCTGATCACCTGGGGTACCTGAGGGTCCAGCTTCAGAGCCTCCGGTAGCTTTCCAACCCCAGGGTTGTGATGTTCTCCTGCACATAATAAACAACGCACAAAGGCTGCCGTCTAGTGGCCTTTGGAAAGCAACACATTCCTTCTTGCAAGCCTGCCTCTGCTGGATCTGAGCTCTTCAAGAACCTCAAAAGCTGGCTGGGTTGTTTAATTTCCAAACAAGGCTGTAGTAA